CACAGGAATAGAGTCTGAGGTTACAGAACAAGAAAAACTCAACTTTTGCAAAAGAAACACCTTCAGGCCAGACTGGAGTAGGCCAAGTACAATCTGGAGAAAGATTTTGTAAACTGGAAACATGTCCTTTAGTCAGATGAGATTAAACCAGAGCTCTGCTTACTCTGCTTAAATTTGGAGAAAGAAGGGAGAGACGTACAACCCAAGAACAGGGTTCCCAAAGTGAAACACTGCGGTGTGGGTATTATGTTGTCGGGACCCTTCAGTGCATCTAGGAATCTCGCCAAGGTGGAAGGAATCATGAAGAAATAAGAATGTGTGAAGATCTTGTAGAAAACCTCAAGCAGTCAGTAGCAAACCTGGAAGAACCTCCAGAAGACCAAAGTCAACATTACTGACTGACTTGAAATCTACTGATAATATGTGGGTTGAACTGAAGACCCTGGTAGTTTTTCTTTTTGTAAAACTATTTTTTGTGCAAAGTCAAATAAGATAAGCATCCAAAAAATAAAACTACAATGTTTAGAAAAGCTATGTTAAAATCCCTTGCTCTGTTTAAAATGACTTGGAAATTAAAAATTTCAGAGGGTCCTAATGATCTTGTCTTCATCTATACACATAAAGGAATTAGTTACTGATTACTTTTTTCAAGTAACTTGACCAACACTGCACACAGCACGCACGCATATCTGTTTCACAGTCTTTAGTGATATTGCACAGGGTGTGTTGAGTGGTGACAGTGCACAGTGTTTTTGCCTTTTCTATTGTGTCAGTGTATATAATACCATCTGTCTGTTCTTCCTGCGTCTTAATCAGCTATAGGGCATTCCTTCCTGAAGCGTGCACTGGCCTTGTGAGTTCAAATATAGCACAAAGACACCAAACATCCCCCAGTCTTCTCCCCTTCTTTGTCCTTCACTTTAATATGTCGAGTGTTTCACGAGAACACATCACACTGGCATATTTCAAACCACAGACACACACTATATGAAGCACCCATTCACCTACGAGAGTGGCTGAGTGGGCGCTACTGTGATGTAAGGATGTAACATTTAGAGAAAACAAACTGAGTGTGTCTGTATATGTGCAGGCTATAGGATGGTCATGTTGTGGGACCTACTATTGACGACGGGGGCGCTGCGGTCGTTGACCTGCGTGACTTTCTTGAGCTTGGTTCCTTTCTGGATGTCTGCCAGCAGGGCATTCCTTCCACCACCTCCTCCTCCTCCGCTAAACTGGACCTTGGGAGGATCTAATGGACACTGAAGAAAAACAGAACAAAAAAGAAGTAAGAGTGGAGAGGATCACTTTTTTGTTTATGCAGACAGACGTTACTGCTGTATCCAGAATCTACTGAGCCATGTCTTTGCCCTGTTCGCTGGCTGCAGCAGCTCATTTAACAAGAGGACACTATGAGCCTGCTGGGGTAACGTAACACTCTTTTGCCACTGACAGCCTGCTGTCTGGGTTGTGTGTGTCTAAGTCAGTGTGTGTGTGTGTATACTAGCTCAATTAATAATGCAAATGAGCTCCAGATGGTCGATGATCAGCAAGAAGAACACAATGAGTGTTTGCAATTGCATAAGAGAGTTGCTGGAAGAATCTTATACCTGTGGCAGGGCAGCACTGGGTGGCGGTGGGGGTGGCGGGGCTGCTGGTGGAGGCGGAGGGGGAGGTGGGGGAACCGGCATGCCTCGGCCTCAAATACCTGGAGAAGACAAAGCGCACTCTATTGCAGGAAACCCTGTATGCAGTGCTTCGAGGTTTTTTATTTGCTCCGCGTCAGAAGAAGCTACTGTGTACTGGGTGCATTCGATGACCTGTCACCCTCTTCCCCTGAACAGGAAGAGCTTTCACCACCATACAGCACAAAACAGGAAACAGCAAAGCGCTCCATCCTCTCCAGAGAAATCTGACACATCTCCTCCTTTTCCCACAATGCCCCATGGCAGATTACTTCAGGCTAGAACAATGGAGAGTGTTGTGTGAACAGTAATGGACCCCTACCCTTTATTCGAGTCAGTGTCCAAAGGCATTTACTGCAGTAACTGTATGGAACTTCATGGAAAAGAAATTAAGGAAAGTCCAGAGGAAACAACAACAGTGTCCCAACACACTGTTCTATTCTTTTATGTTTCAGGTTGTACTGAGTGTAACTGTGCAAAGAAAGCTTTTAAGAGCTACTGGTTCAGTAATCAAAGCCCCGCTAAATGTCCACTACAACAGCGTTCCAGGAAACAGCTTGCGTACAGAGTCATGTCACATGTTTCAGCTTCTACAGCTAGTAAATGGTCCACAGTGACAGTCGCTGACATGTCCACCCACCATCTTGACATCATGCATTTTTGATAAGCTGTCTTCCTCGGCTGACCGGCTGAAAACAGCCTGAGGTTTGTGCACAAACCTCAGGCTGTGGAATTTGCACATTCTCCTCTTTAGCAATTTAATAAAGCACACAACAGAACCTGTTTTTGTTGAACACATCTCTCTTGTCGTCTGGGGGAAGAGAACTAAGCACAATTACTCAAGTACACTATTTCAGTCCAAATTTAAACTTGTGTACTTTATTTGATGGTTTTATTCAGTTACAAGTTCCCCTACACTTTCAATACATTGATCTTCAAATGGCGTAATTAATTTTTGGATTGGTTTGGGAACATTTGCTTACTTCTTATTCCATTTAAAGCCTTGTTGTATTAGACAGGAGAAGCTGGAAACACAACTGTTTTCCGACATCAGGATAGTTTCACTTGTTGGAAATAGTTTTCAAACATGTAAACATATGATGACATCATAATATGGTTCTTTATTGTGGATTAAACAACTAAGCAGCACAGAAAGTATATTGAAATTACCTGAACTGTTAAGCTTTAGTGCCATAAAATGCTTAAGTTATCCAAAGACAAGAGATATTAAAAGCACTGTCAATAAACATAAGTGCACAATAAGTGCTTTTAATTAAGTAATTTTATGGCTAGCAAATACCTTTACTTGAATATGTTTTTGTAATGGAAGTAACGGATCTGAATCATGCTACTGGTATTCTGTCTGTGTGCAGTTCATGCTTTCCCTCTTTGCAAGTGGCAGGCTGTCCTCCGTTGCTATTTCTATCTTCATAACTGTGTCAAGCAGCCTCAGTGACACTGCCAGTTTAGCTCTCTAAAGGGGGGAAGCTGGACACCGGTCAGCTGAGGTCTTCCAGAACAGGTGGGGAAGTAAGTGAGGTGAGTACACCTCTCACAGCAGTTGTTGCTTTTCTTTGTACCTCAAGTATGAGCTTAATCTTCCCCAGAAAGAAGATCTGATATGACAGCTGCTGCAGCCAAAAAAAAGATGGATCACACTTTTTATTTTCTAGTAATTTATTTCCATATTTTATAATCGTTACAAAAATCCCAACCAATTTGTGATACGTCTTCACAAAGAATGGCTGATTTTGCAAACCCAGCCCAAGAATAACAGCCAGGATTAGCACAACACAGTGGTTTTAAGTAATGTCCATGTATGTTTTATTTATTTATATTTTTATATTATTCATTCATTAATTTATTATTATTATTATTCATTCATTATTGCCCATTTTTGTAATGCAAAATGTATCTGAAAGGACATTTAAAAAAGGGTGGGTACACTTGATGCTCCATGCCTGTGTAGGGAGCTCGAATAAATCCAATTCATCTGCTATAAACATTTCTATTTGGACCTGCATTTTTAAACATTTCATTACAAACTTCTGTGAGAATAAAAACATTAAACCGTTACATGCAAAAGTGCACTCGTTAAGAAATCGCCCTACCTTCAGAAAATGTCAGAACTTCACCTGTTTGCAGAGAGAACTTCAGTGTGGTCCGTTAGCGCAGTGCCCTCTGCATAGCGGGACACTTGTGAGAAAGTTTCCAGGTTATATTTAGTCAAATGAGGACACTTCGTATCACACGCCTGGGTTGTGGTGCTCTTGCAGATATCTTAAAAAGTTCCACAAACTTTATTTTGCTTAATTTTTGAGTTTATAGCGGAGACGCTGACGACACTGCAGCACAACAGCCCTGGCTGTTTTCGGTTTATTCTCTTGGGAGCGCAGCGTCGGGGGCGCACAGAGTAAAGCCACACCTCACTGCTCCACAGTCAACGACACAGAGACACACAGAGAGAGAGAGAGAGAGAAACAGGATCAGTGTCGTTGGCTTCGTCCGTGCTGAAGGAGCCAAAAGACTTTCCCTCTTATTGAGTTACACCAGTGGAAGGAGACAAGCATTGTGTATCCACGACTGTGGGTTCTGACTGCGCGGTAAAGACGTCTGAAGTAAATTCTTTGCCCCCTACAAAACTACAGTTTGTTTTTTCTAAGTATATCTTCCTCCTGTTCATTGCAGTTTGTTGCTGTATGACAGTCTACTGGCGGTACATTATTGCCCCTTGTGTTGAAGATATGGTATTACAAGTCGGTCTTATTCATTTGTGCACGCACAACTTCACACTTACACGTTTAACTGTTGCACTTTAGCAGCTATGAGACAGCCGACAATAAATATGGTGTCATTGTAAAAAGTATATCAATTATAACCTTTGACATGCACTGTGCACACACACAGATACACACCTTAAACAGTGACAGAAGAATGCCGCGACACTGGCATACTCCTCCTTTTAACTACCTGTGACTCACACCTGGGCTTAACATCTACTACCTGCTTTATTTAATTAGCTGTAATTCCTTGTGAGTGCTTTTTTTAGACATTGTGATGAGAACACACAAGGTTGTCACTCTCAACACAGCTGCCAAATTTACTGACATGTTTTTAGGTGGGGTGTTTTTTGCTTTACTCCATCTTCAGATTTTCTTATTTATTTCCTTATTTGGTGTTATTGTTGTTGTTATTGATGGGCTTTGCTGTGTTAAAGTTGTTTTTAATGGGGACGAAGAAGCAAACTTTGCACTGCGTGGGTTAATCCATCAACAAATGGGGATTCGTCAAGCACACAGACACACACCAATCAGCTGTAGCAGATGTCAGATTTATTTCTCATATTTTGCCTTCATGTAAAACTATTCAGAGGCCATCCAAAAGCAGAGAAGTCTTAAAAAGAAATTAACATCACTTCCTTGTCCTCATTTCATCTGCCTGGATATTTCAGCAGTGATGGCTTTGCTAAAGGTTTTGTGCAATATGTCAATTTGAATCCTTCATTGAAGTATTTTATGCATTTTGCTGACAAGTTTTGTGCATCTGATTAAGCACTGCTAACAAACCATTTTTTTCTCTCTCTGTTTTCTTCACACACACACACATAAAGGAACCATTTACACCTTCATAAACACCCTTATAGCCCTTATAAAAAGCACTGTAAAATTATTGTTACACATATCCTTCATTATTAGGTTTATATTATTAGATATTATTTTCTATTAATCTTATTACAGAAAAAATGTAAACATTTTATGAGCAGTTCCTTCCTGAAACACATATGGAGCACTGAAAGGAGAAAGGGCATTCCTGTTTTCTAAGTGTAATATTGCTGACACTGTTTTTTTGGCTTTCTGGCAAAGTGCATCAACAAATGTCTAAAATCATCCTTTTTTTCCAGTATTGGGCTAAAACTTGAATGCTCATCGTCTTCATTATCACCAACATATAAAAAAAGAAGAAAAAAAAGAAAAATCAGCAGAATTCCTGGCATGCTTCATGAGAGTGAAACATCTTCATAGACCTTGATTTCTTCTTCTCCTCCGTCTTCAAGCATCTCTGTAAAGCAGTCTTTGATCGCCCGGCTTTTTACTCCTTGCTGTCACCGTGCGTCCTCTCTCCCAGACGTCACGTTCTCTTTCTCTTTCTGCTCTATTGGAATAGTTGTACGGATCTTCTTCTTTTCTTTGAATCGGCCTGAGCGCGATATATTCATGTTCCTGCGACAAGTCTGCTCATTGAAGACCGAGTCCAGTCGGGAGTCGTCGAAGGTTTCATCGCTGAGCAGGCTGGAGCTGTTGTTGGACACCGGCTGGGAGGCCTTGGAGGCTGCAGGAGAGGATTTTGCCCAAGGGTCAAAGTTCACATCAAAGGCTTGATCCTTGGAGGCCTTTTTCTTTGGCAGGAATGCCTTCCACCATGGGGTCCTCTCTGTCATCTTTGACTAAAGGGATGCAGTGACCTGTAAAGAGGAACGCAACCCATCAATAATTTTTAAGATTTTATCATCTTTTACAGTATTTGTCCTTTAATATAATCCAATTTGAGGGGCCAGTTTGTCATTCTTTTATCATATATATATATATATATATATATATATATATATAGATATATAGATATATATATATATATATATATATATATATATATATATATATAGTTGGTTTAGTATTCATGCTGTTCTACAGCCTTATGTCCACTCATAATTACTACAAGTGTAATTTCTGTTTTAATGTCTTAAATTACACTTTACCTAAATGTTTGCCTATCTACATATATTTTAGATGAGTGAGAGGTGTCTTGCCAACTAATCCTATGAATAACCAGTGTAACCATATTTAGCGTCGCTGTAAAACTGGTTTAATGAGTCTGAGAGTAGAAGTGCAAACCCAAACCGAGATTCACAGGCGATCAATACGCAAAAAGGACTCAGAAACACTTATCCTACCTGTGTTGCAAGAGGTGGCGTGGACAGTTAAAACGACCCTAATAAAAGTGTCAGCGTCGGGCTTTTAATCGTGACGAGCTATCTATAAACAACATTCGGTGTCCTCTTCTTTACTGGCGCAACACCTGGAACAGCAGTGACAACAGTCCTTCAAAGGTTCGTAGACGTATCCATCTTACGCACGAGCCAAGTACTCTGTCTCCTTAAACTTCCCAGCAACAAAACCTTTTCTTTCTTTTATGTTGCTCTTATCAAACAACTCCGCTCTACTCCTCAGCAGTTCTTGATAAAAGAAAACAAATGAAGTGACAGACTAATAAGGAGCGGCTTACACTTAACCAGCAGGTTTCCGCCTCCGAAACTTTGATGAAGAAACACCTGTCCTCCATCCTGATTGGATTGGACCCTTTGCGCTTGTCACGTGAACACGGTTCAGGTGAATACATTGGGATGGTAGGCGGGGCGTGTCGTTGCACGGCAACACGACCCACGGGATCGTACAGCCTCCTCAGTAACAAAAAAAAAAGAAAAAAAGAAGAAGATTCCTTTGTCAAAGCGGCCCAACCCTAAGCCAGAGAGCCAAATTACGTTTCAGTGTTTGGACGTCCTGTTTTTTAGGCTCTCGCCTGTCGTGCAAAGGAGAAGAATGAGGTAGTGAAACGTTTATTCAACGAGTTAATAGCGCAATTAATACCCGTCGTGGCTGGATTGCTGCTCGGTAGCGTTCAGTTCAACCGCATGGATTTAAATTATAGCCTGAGTTAAAAATCATTACATTTCAGGTGTCTATTGACGTCATTTTACTGCTCTAAACGTGCGCTAGTGCTGCTGTAAATTCAAATTTAATGGGAACAGTTTGGCTCTCCGCCAGATTCATTCAGTTTCATCCACCGAGGCACTCTCATGTGTTCCTTCCGGGTACATTTGCTTGTCCCTGCATTGTAGTTTGTCTCTGGAGTCTGTCACTAAGGCTCAATGTGTTATAATGTTACAGTTTTATTACTATTTCATTATTATTATTCATTAGAGGCTCAGCCTTTGACTTCACCTGTTATATACATGTATACATACATACACACACACACACACATACATACATACATATATATATATATATATATAAGTTTAAATAAATTGAACCCTGTTTGATGATGTTTCAGATCATCAAACAAATTTAAATATTAGAAAAAGATAAGAGGTAAACATAAAATGCAGTTTCCAACTGAAAGTGTTTGTTATTAAGGGGGCAAAAAATTCCAACCTACATCACCCTTTAAAAAGAAGTGATTGTCCCCTAACCCTAATAACTGGTTGGACCACCCTTAGCAGCAACAACTGCAATCAAGCATTTGCAATAGCTCGCTTCGAGTCTTTTACAGTACTGTGGAGGACTTTTGGCCCATTCTTCTTTGCAGAATTGTTGTAGCAACATTGGAGGGTTTTTGAGCATGAACCGCCGTTTTGTTTTGGATCGCTGTCCTGCTGCAGAACCCAAATGCGCTTCAGCTTGAGGTCACAAACAGATGTCTGGACATTCTCTTTCAGGATGTTTTGGTAGACAGCAGAATTCATGGTTCCAGTTACAAAATCAAGTCTTGCTGGTCCTAAGGCAGCAAAACAGCCCCAGAAGATCACACTACCACATTTTGATGTTGGTGTGATGTTCCTTTTCTGAAATGCTGTGTTACTTTTACGCCAGATGCAACAGGACTTAAACTGTCCAAATAGTTCAACCTTGTATCGTCAGAATATTTTCCCAGGGTATTTTCTTGGGAGTCATCAAGATGTTTTCTAGCAAAACTGAGATGAACCTTTGTGTTCCTTTTGCTCAGCAGTGGTTAATCGTCTTGGAACTGGGGCCATTTTAGCCCAGTCTCTTTCTTATGGTGGAGTCATGAACGCTTACCTTAACTGAGGCAATTAGGGCCTGCAATTTTTGCACTCATGACTGTGCACAGGTGCCCCGTCCAGCACATATCAGCAGAATGCAAGATGCAAGCTAGGACACTCAAGTGCCTGGGATAGTATACGGGAAGATCTGTGAGGCTAAGACTAGAAGTCTTTCAAGTCCCGATGGGATGAGGACAGCAGTCCTGTCCTGTGGGACTTTGAATTTAAGACTGACAAGGAGGTCCTGGCCAAGAAGCAGAAGACATTAGATGTGATAGATGAAGTACCACAGGCTGGAATAACAACTGGAGCAAAAGTGAAAGGTAAAGTCCAAAGTGGCTGATACGCAGATAGGTAGGCAGATACATAAATGTAAATTCAATGATTTTATTTTTCTATTTTATTTTCAGTATGAACACCAAGATCCAATTTGCCTTTTAACCCTTGCTAATTAGGGAAATTGCATCACCTCTTTGCTGCGCTTATGAAAGCAGTTTCTCTGACCATGGAATCCCACAATGGTTTCTGTGTGGCTTGCTGTCAACAGGGAATACCCAGTCTGAGCTGAGAAACACAGAAACAGAGATAGAAAGAATATCAGGGAATCCTTTCTATCTCCCTCCTCCGAAACACAGGTGAAAGTTGTTGCTATGGCAACGGGAAACTGTTTGCAGTTCCTCTTTGTCTCTCTCTTTCTGTTTCAGTCAGTGTCCTGCATAACTGGGAGACTCCCTCTCCTCCTCTCCCGTCTGGGCCGAAACTCTCTAGAGTTATTTCCTCTTTCCGGTGCGAACAGAAAGCTGGTTGTGTTTGTACTTTGTTGTTCCTGTGCTCAAACAGAGGTAACCGTGAATCCTTAACCGACCATCATTTATGCATTTTCACCCAAGTAAACAATACCATTTTTTACAGTACAATTTTTTTTTGCAACCTTGCACGTAAACATTTTTGTCTTAAATAAACTGATTGATAATGAACTGGCCTTTAAAACAGAAACACGATGCCTTCAAGTGTCATGTTTTGGCATTCCACTTGCTTTCGTGAAGCCATTTCTCACATTTGTGAAGCTGTTTTTTTGCCATTTTTGCCATGTGTGCCATATTTCAACTTAGAACTGCATCACATTATGCTATTATATTATATCTTCTCCCAGTCTTTTCTTCCAGCTTTCTCTCCTATATCGCTTCATCTGTTCTCCTGTCCCCTAATGCTGCAAGCAGCCTTGCTGAGAGTTGATATTTAACTTCAGCCCCACCAGATAAAGAAAGCACCCATGCAGTTATTTTGAGAGGAAGATCTACAAAATAAAGATTAGCTTCCAATCCCAAGAACACTGAACTGATTATTCAGGGTGAAAATACAGAGGAAGAGCATTTGTCCCTTGAAACAGTAAAGCATGTGGAGAATGTGAGTAGAAAACTTGAAGTTGCAACACACTGAAACAATGACCTTTATTGCAGGTGTTCCCTCCATTTGTATCTGTTTCTGTGTGGTTTGACTGTGTGCCATTAGAAACATAATAAATCAACACTTTTTTCTCACAGCCACACAGTCACAAGTATGCAGCAGCCATGCAGAGGAAATGAACACTTTTAGTCACTTTAGGGAGGTAATGTTTTAAAATACAAATAATTATTATATATTTGTGCTCTGTCAGGTATAAAAAATCATTTTTAAATGACTTTGAATGGAATTTAATCTAGTAAATGTGTACACTTGGGACTTGAATTTGAGTGCTCTTTTACTTTTTCCACTGGCAGGAAGTCATATATTGTCAGCAACATAGTATAACGTCCTAAACCTATATATAGATGTCATGACTCTTTAGTAGGTTATGACAGATTAAGACACAATGAGTTTACCATTAGGTTACAAGCCCATAAATAAACATTGACTCACATGCACACACAGTTCGACTTACGTGTGCCCATCTGCGCTCGTGTTTCCATACGCGATGATGTTGGTGCGTTTGCATCACACCTTATGCGTATGAGTGAAATTTGATAAACCTGAAAATCTTTTTTGAGTACTGAACAACTGGTTGAACCAAGGTGTGCTAGCCATGGGAAAGAGAGCAGGAAGGCAGCCAGTTAGACTGGTAGAGTCAGATAGAGAAAAAAAAAAGAAAAAGCAGCAGAGGAAGTGAGAGGTTACTGTATCTAAGGATAGTAATGATGTAAACAGAGGTCTGTCTGCAGACAACATGAACCCCTCTGAGCCCTAAAACCACAGGCCACCTCAGTGACAAATTCTGAATCACAGCCTAAAGACTATAGAGGTGAAATACCACTAAGAACTGGACCAACAAAAATAGTAACAGTTGTTTGTTACTTTGGGTGGAGTTTGGATTTGCATTGTATCTTTTTAATTAAACAGTTTGCATTCCTGGGATGTTTTCAGTCAATGTTTTTGGAACTATGAGTAAAGCAGCGAGAAACTCACCATAGCTTCACCTGTGATTGCTGACGTTATGAGAACGTCCAAGAATGCAGAAAGGAATCCAACAGCTCTCGGCCAATTTTCTTTCTATTTAATGTGTTTCTTTTCGTGAATGCAGATACACGCACATGAACCTAGAACTGCACCTACCCATGGTAACTTTGCACTGGCTTTGAAATGGTTGACCTTAATGTACAACACTGCTACATGTCAGATCTTAAAATTGCCTAATTCCAGTTGCCTTTATCTTTAGATCTTTCCATTATTTTTCTGATGATACAATACCTCCTGGCAATGGCTAAACAATCCTGAGATTCATAAATAGCACCAGAGAGTAATCAACAGACCACAATGTATTCTCTCTAAGGTGTTAGTAAAGGTATAAAATGTCACACAATGTTTTCAAACTGCAGTTATTATAACCGATTGTGCAGCCATTAATTCACTGAAGGACAGGCAGTAATGCAATGCACTTGCATTTATACAGTGCTTTAATCTCTTACTCACCACTCAAAGACTTTAGACTACAAGTCATATGTTTTTCACTTTCATACAGTGCTTTATCTACCTCGCATCCATGGCCAGTTTTGAATTGCCAATCAACTGAACGTGTCCAGGACTGTGGGAGCAAGCCAGGAAACCCACGCAGGGACAACATGCAAACTTCGAACCAGGAAACTGCTTGGTGCCAGGCAGCATTGCTAACCAATGACAAAACCAGCATTCGGTTGAATTTCTGCCTGATCTACATTATTGTACAAAAGTCTTGAACCAACCAGCATTATCTCTGCTGTGTGGAGTGTGGTCATGTTGGAATCCATTACAATGTGGCTTATATCTGCCAAGGTCTTTACATTTTATTTACTGATTTTTTTGGTGGAAAATTATAATGGAAAGCCTTATAACTTGCAACGTATGATTCATACAAGGGTGGTGTGTCTGTGTCAAGCTGTAGAAAGTAACATAGGATTTCACGTAGGATGGTATTTAAAATACTGTGTCACAGTTGACCTCTGAC